ATGACTTAGTGCCCCAGCAGGATAGAGATTCAGCAACATAGCGATCCCCTAGGAACAAGGCCATTAAGAGTGAAAAGAAAATTCTGAGGGCTTCCTGGAGAAGGTATTGGGAATGGGTTGGATGTAGGGTTCCTCAGGAGTGAGCTCACAGTGTGGCCCCTAAGAAGGGCTAGTCTCCAGGAATACAGCCCAGCCTAGGCCTATCAGAAGTGGGCCTCTGATATCCTCTTAAGTACAGATGTCATCAACAACCTACTGTGGGGACCCTGAACCCTACAACTGTCTCAGAAACTGTACAATGAGATGGGAAAGTTCATGTACCAGATCCTAGAAGAGTCACTGCCACCCCACCCCCATCTGCTACCCTGTGAGACAAGCCTTTGGAGATGGACTAAATGCCCAGATGCTGAGGGAGGGGCTAGGAAACTCATATTCAGGAGGACCACTCCTGGAAGGGGGTGATATACACTCTCAAATGGAAGTAAAGAAGAAAACAATGAAAGGATTTGGGGGGATAGGGGGATTGACAGTCCCTAGGAAGCAATGTCTAAGGAGGAGTTTCAGGTATCCACTATGGGATGCCTTAGGTAGGAACTTCCACAGACTCTTGAGGTCCCCTCTCCCACCCAGCAAAGCTCTGTACCATCTACATTCACAATGCTCTTGGGGTCCAGATGTGGAGTCTCTGACCACCCGGCAAGCTGTGCACCGAGCCCTCAGTCGGTGATAGGGGTGGTTGCCCCACTCTCCAAGCCATCCAGTGAGGTCCAAGTCCTAAGGAGCCTCTGGCCTAAGAGCCTCTGAGAGACCATCCAGAGACCAACTCTCCTGCTGCCCCTTCCACTCTGTCCATGTGGGCCCTGGAAACCTGCTCCACCTCACAGGATTGAGTGCCACCTAATGGCTGATGCTCTGTGGATATGGACACCCCCCGCACACACACTCACACACACCACTGCTACACACACCATTCATGTTTCTCTGCAAGCTCAACAGACAGCAGCACCCCATCTCCCAGAGAGGCATCCATGTTCCACCCCAAAGGGTGCCGCTTTCCTTAGACTACCCTAGGCTCGTGCCTCTCAAGCAGCAGTTCTCCTGGGGGTGTTAGCGACTCCCAGGCACATCTCAGGCCACAGCCTCGTAGCCTCCGGAGGACAGAGCCCTGACCAGAACTTGGCTAAGAGGGGACACTGGGTTGTCCAAACATGACTAAACTAGGGACCTCCTCAGAGTCTGGAGAAGCAAACACTGCTGCCCGGATGCAACCAGGAGAGCCAGATGGCCACGCCATGGCGCCTGCAAAGGCTGTTCAAGGATGTCCTGGAGTGCATGGCTGAGAGTGGAGAGAGGGCCAGGGAGGGCCCCAAGTGAAGGTAGTCCACTCCCCTGCTTGTGGGACAGCTGCTACCCCAGTCATCCTGGCTGCTCCTTTTCCAGGAACCTGGTGGAAACAAAGCTCCTTGCAAAGGAGGACGGGAGAGAACTGCGGGAGAAGGCTCAGTGCCCCGGGGAAGCAGTGACACCTGAATGGCAAGACAAGACTCAAGTCAGGGTCACCTCATCCAGACAGCCTTCCTGGCCTCCAGGAACGAGGCTGGGCACCTTTCTGCTCCCGCCCCCACACTCGGCAGTGCGGGCTGTCATGCTGGGTCTGTGTCCCTGACCTAGGCCTGTTCAGGCCCAGGGCTCCCCAACTGTGCTCGCTGTTCCGAGGACTGGCGCACCGAGGGGTGGGGGCGCAGGCTTGCCGGCCAGAACCTGGAGGAGGTTACTGAGCAAGGCGCGGCCCCATCCCCCACCTGCCCTCCCCCCGCCCATCCCTCCCCGGCTGGGCGCCGCCCCATAGGAGCGACTTCAAAGGGCCTGTGCGGAGCTCCCGCGGCCGCGCTCGGGTCCGCGGCCCGCGCAGCGCAAGCCGGGGCAGGATCCCGGGCGTCGGAGCCGTCCCAGCCCCGGGATCTCCGGGAACCCGGAGGGGGTGCGAGGCGGCCGGCGGCGTGGGCTGAGGGCGGGTCTTCAGAGCCCCCCGAAGTGGGAGGGTCGGGGCCGCGGCGGGGCCAATCCGGGAGCGCGGGGAGCGGGGGCGGGGGCCGGGCGGAGCGGGGTCCGGGCCGGGCGGGCCGGGGGCGGGGCGCGGCGTCCCGGCGGCGGCGGCGGCGGCGATCCTCAGTGTCCGCTCGGCTCCGGCTGCGGCTCCCGCCAGCGATGCCCCACTCCGTGACCCTGCGCGGCCCTTCGCCCTGGGGCTTCCGCCTGGTGGGCGGCCGGGACTTCAGCGCGCCCCTCACCATCTCGCGGGTGAGTCCGGTGGGCACGGGGCGGCAGGGCGGTCCTGGATCCGAGACTTGGTCCTCGCGATCCACCCGGGACCCGGATCCCCGACGGTCCTGAGGCTCGAAGGCGAAGGGTTGGCCTGGGTGACCCGCAGCATATAGAGGAGGCTTCCCGGCTGGGCAGTGTCGCCCCAACCCCTTTTCCTCCCTTCTGCTGGGCCTGCCTGCCTGTCCCTTGGAGGAACACCCCACGAGTTCACACATCAGCCTTCCTGCTGGCCTCATTGGGGGGCTCGCTGCAGGCCGAGGAAGGACCGCAGTCGCGGGCCAGGGGTTTGGACAGATCTACAGAAGCTCGGCAACCCTGCTTAGACTGAACCCAACCTAAAGATTTGGAGCAAAATGACTGAGAGTCCCCTCCCCTTATCAAAGGTCACTGCCCGCTGAGCTGGGGTCCTCCCTGAATCTGAAAAGAGAAAGCTCCCCCACACTGGTTTTGGGCAGTCTCTCATCAGTGACCTCAGGTGACCTAAGGGGAAGTAACAGGAGGAATCTGTGGTTTCCAGGAAAAAGAGAGACTTGACTCTAAGCTTGTGAGACCTCTCCCCTCAAGTCAAGGGGCTGGGTTAGCCTCAGCCCAGTTCCTCAAGATTCCAGGACCACGCTCTGCCCCAGGCTCAGGTCAGAGGAGGGAGGGAAGGGGCACAACCCCGGGCTGGGCTGCGGACAGAGAAGCAGAGGAGAGGACTCGGGCCCTATCAGAGGGGGTGCCCATCCTGGGGGAGATGGGATCCTGACCCAGCCTTGGGGCACCGGGACTCAGACTCAGCCCCTGGGAGTCCCAGCCTCAGGGACAGAAGAGGAGAGAGCCCAGGCCCTGCCCTTTGGGGCTACCAGTCTGGAGGGAAGCAGCGGAGGGCATCTGAGAGTCATCCCTTGCGCCCGCACAGCTGCTTTGGCCTTTCAGGGGCCTGTGCCGGGGAAACTGAGAGTCACCTTCCCCCACCTTCCTGCCACCTCTCGCCATGGGGGCCGGACCAAGCTGGCTGGACTTTCAGACACTTCTTTCCAGTTCTTGGGAGCGGGGTGGGCACCCGGTGGAGTGTGGAATCATGGAATCCCATTGCTGGGGGCCAGGGTGACAGGCAGGCCCAGCTGTCCTGGGAGGCCTCCCACATCTGCCCTCACCCCACACCACCAGGTCCCGGGGGCTGAGTGAGGTAGGCCAGCTACATATCCGGGAGCCTTTCATCTCCCACTTTCCTGAGGGAGCCCTGCTGGGGGAGGGGGTGAGCATCTGTGTCTGCCTGTGTATGTCATGCTGTGTGTCCACAGAGGTGGGCTGGTGGGGGCGCTAGACTAGCTGGTGGGCCAGGCATCCTGGGTGTGAGGCTGCTGACAGGCTCAGTGGCGGCGGCTGACGGCCACAGGCGGCAGGGAGCAGAGACATCTGTTGCCCACGCGGCTGGCTGCCTACAAGGAAAGGCCTCCACACGTCACAGCGGCGGCAGCGGCGGCCTTGTTTGGAGCTGACAGTGATGCAGGCCCCTGGCAGGCAGGCAGGCAGGCAGGCTGGGAGATGGTTTGCCTGGAAGAAACCCCCCTTGTCCCCCAAAGTCACATGGCAGCAGCTCAGGCCTGAGGAGCCAGGATGGCTGAGCCTGGGTTTGGGTGGGATCTGGGGAGATTTATGGGGCTGGGGAGGCACAGGCCACAGCTTGCCCAGCAGATACCTCAAGGGCAGGTTTGCAGACACTGAGGATAAATGGGAGTGTCCTCACCCCGGGGGTTCAAGACCCAACCCTCTCGTGCTTCCAGGGCCTCTCCCACCCAGAAGGGACAGCTACACTCAGACAGGGAGGAGGCTGGCAGCCTGGCAGAGCTGGGACCTTGCAACCTTAGCTCACAAAGTCTCAAAGAACATTGTCCAGGGCTCCTTCCTCACAGACTGCAGTGATTGCTGGCTTGGGTGCATCCACAGTGTTCCAGGCCACACCCTGAAGGGTGTTGGTCCCAGCTCCCCGGCAACTGGTGCTGGGAATGAGCATCACTGTGTGCCCGACGCCCCATGGGAGGTTTTTGTCCTGATTGTCTCAAATAGTTCGTCCTCACAGCAGCCCTTAGAAGAACTCCCTCTGGCCTTACATTATTGATGGGAACACTGAGGCTCCGAGAGGCTAAGGCAGGGGTGGGCAAACTTTTTGACTCGAGGGCCACAATGGGTTCTTAAACTGGACCGGAGGGCCGGAACAAAAGCATGGATGGAGTGTTTGTGTGAACTAATATAAATTCAAAGTAAACATCATTACATAAAAGGGTACGTTCTTTTTTTTTTTTAGTTTTATTCATTTTCGCGGGCCGTAGTTTGCCCACGGCTGGGCTAAGGTGTGGTACCCTGAGAAGCAGAGCAGGGACAGGAATCCAGGCCTTTCTGGAGCTGACTGGGACTGTTTGGAAAATATGGCACCTGATCTCTGGCTCCTCGCCCGTCCCAGCCTCTAGGCTGGGTGGAGTGGAGCAGGGGCTGGGGAGGTAGTAGCCGCTACAGGTAAAGGGACTGGTTCATGTCCCAGCCTCCCAGCTGACTCACTGCTCCCCTCTCCCTCCCTTCTGTCTGTTTATCCTTCACTCTGCAGCCAGAGGGATCGACTTGAGTTCAACTCTGTCCTGTGATTTCCCTGCTTAGAACCCTCCATGGTTCCCATCTACCTAGGAGAAATGCCAGATTCTCACCTGGGCCTACAAGGCCCACAGGTCTGGCCCCAGCTCCTTTTCTGACTTCATCTCTTCTACTCTCTTCTCATGAATGATGTTTCAGCCACAAGCCTGCTTTTATTTTTACTCTTGTTCCAAAATGAGCCATTATACATGCCGATCCTTCTACCTGGGACAATCTCCCTTTTTGCAGAAAAACACACAGTAGTTATGAGCATAGGACTTGGAAGCAGTTGACCGGGATTGAAATCCTAACTCCCATTTACCAATTGAGTGTCCTTTTCTTCTCCGGACCTCGGCCATCTCACCCAGCAAATGGGCTCGCCTTCAGGATTAATGAGACAATGCATGGAAAGTCAGTGGGGAGAGTCACCATTTCCTGGCCTCCCGCCTCTCTGACCAGAACTCTCCGGGCTAGTGGAGCTGGCAGGAGTTCCAGCCACCTCTGCTTTCGAGAACTTCCCCCACCCACAGGGGCCTGAACGCACCCTTGTGCTGGCTGAGTCATCCTGCAGCCATCCCCCTGAGGAAGAAGACTCCTCTTCAGTGTGGGGCACGGGTGAGGCGCCCCTCCCCCTGAGCCTCTCTTTCTTTGTCTGTAAGTAGGGATGACAATGCCTCCGTCTCACCAGGTGCTTGTGAGGGTGCCAAGAGCTAGTTATGGGTAAAGCGCTGAGCCTAGGCCATGTCACAGAGGAGGTGTCCATGAGGAGAGGGGGCCTGAGCAAGGCCTTCAGGAGGGATGGGATGGAGGACAGGCCTGTGCAAGTACCAAGACCTTATGAGTGAACATTAATGGTGGCAGGTGGCTGCGGGTGTCATGCTCCAGAACATTCCTCAGGGCAGCTTATTGCAAGGTAGGTCAGCTCGGGCAGTGCCGACACCAGGACTCCAGCTAAGGAGCTGCCAGCACCTCAGTGTTGTCCACTCACTACTGAGCACTAGCGAAGCTGAACCTAGCCAGGTTTCCAGAAGACCCCACCCCCACCAATAGGAACAGGGTGACTGGCAGCTCCGGAGGCGCAGCAGAGCACCCAGGAGGGACTGGGTGAGAATGAGGGTGCCTAACATCCTTTCCAAAGGCTGTGCCAGGACTGGGGATGGGTGAAGGGCTTCCTAGGCTGCCCACTCAGGCTTTCTGGTGAGCCTGTCCCCAGCCTCAAGTAGCCCTCATCAGGGGACCAGCATTGTAAGCTGTGGATACCACTTGACCCTCTGGGGTCAGTAGTGACACTGGGGAGGCCTGAATGAGTGCCTGTCCTGCAGGGAAGTGGGGCTAAAATTGTGACCCAGGAATTCAGGCTGGGAACTGGAAGTAGATGGCCCTGGACATACCTGGGGGGGGGGGGGGGTGATGGCCCAGACCTAGAGGGAGGCACCAGCAATGTTAAGGGAGCAAAGTGGTACAGGGGATGTACAGGGTATGGTGGGAGCCCAAAGGAGAGGCTCCCAGGGGACACAGCCTCTCTGCTGAGACCTGAAGGATGAGGAGGAGTAGGCTGGTCATTAGGACTTGGGATCAAAGGAAAGAATGTTCCAGGTAGAGAACAGCATCTGCGGAAGCGTGGAAGTGAGAGACACCTGGAGGACCCCCTGGACATTCCGATGACCTAGATAGAGTGTGGGTGGGTGGAGGTGAATGTGGGGTGGGCACAAGAGGAAACAGGAAGGGAGCCAAGGCCACTAAGGGTTTGACTGTCGGTCAAAGGGTTGCTGTGCAATCTGGCTGGGTGGCGTGATTTGTGAAATGTCCATGCTTTGTATGTATCTAGGAGCACATGCCTCCCTGTGTGTCCCTTGCATATCCTTGGGCACGTGTGCAGGCTGCAGGAGTAACGTCCCGCTTGTCCCAGCCCAGAGGAAGCTCCTCGCATATGCCCTAACACCCCACCAGGCCTCCAGGTGCTGGAATTGGGTGTTCAGAGCAGAGGCTACACAAGGCCACATAGTGACGAATGCCTGGCTATCTGACTTGTCCACCCACAGGTCCATGCTGGCAGCAAGGCTGCACTGGCTGCCCTGTGCCCTGGGGACCTGATTCAGGCCATCAATGGTGAGAGTACAGAGCTCATGACACACCTGGAGGCGCAGAACCGCATCAAGGGCTGCCACGACCACCTCACGCTCTCTGTGAGCAGGTACGCACAGGGAAGGCTGGGCCAGGATAATTGGGAGGGGGGTGACCTCAGGGGAGGATAAGTTATGGGTGGCCAGCATCCTGGGTGTGCTGGGCCTCACAGCCTCTCTGCTTTAGCGCCCAGGCACCCCAGACCTAAGGAGTAGCACTTTCACAGGGGCCTGGCAGGCACTGGATATGGAGATGACTTAAAAAACAGAAGCCCCCTTTAACACTGGGCTGGACGTGTGTTGGGAGCTTAGGGCAGGGGGAAGCAGCTCAACATCAGGGCTGAAATAAGACCTTGGGTAGCCTCCAGAGGGATGACTTCAGTCCTTTCCTCGCCCCTAAGTGGCCAGCTTAATGACCAAAGAGGTTACTTGTCCAACACCTCCTTTAGTCCTTGAATCAACTTGATAAAGTAAAACCTAATATAGGCCCCACTCTACAGATGAGACAACTGAAACTCAGAAAGAGTAGAGGGTACCTGGCCAGCGTAGCTCAATGGTTGAGTGTCAACCTATGGACCAGGAAGTCACAGTTCTATTCCCAGTCAGGGCACATGCCTGGGTTGTGAGCTTGATCCCCAGTGTGGGGCTTGCAGGAGGCAACCAATCAATGATTCTTTCTCATCATTGATGTTTCTATCTCTCGCTCCCTCTCCCTTCCTCTTTGAAATTAATAAAAATATATATATTTTTTTTTCAAAAGGAAGAAAGACTAGAGGGTGCTTAAAGTCCCACAGCCAGGGAGTTGGGAAGTAAAATTTGACCTCTGGTCTCTCTCACTCCCAGAAACCCCATGCCTACTTGGCTGCTGACCACTCCTACCAGCCCCATACCTGCTGTGCCCCAGCTCCCCACTGTGGTCCATGCCTCTGTCCTTGTTACATCTGGATGCCAAGGCCTATGTAATGTTATACAGCCTCATGAGGGGAGGACTGGCAGTCACTAAGCCCCATCTGTGGCCTATAGATGGTCTAGGATGGAAGGTCTATCTAGGGCGTCCCATGCCATGCTCAGGCCCTGGGTCTTTGCTCAGTTCTGATAACAGTAGGCTGGGTCATGGCTGACTGAGATCTCCCTGCCCCCTGTCTTGCCTGGATCCAGTGAAGTCAGACAGAACTGCTGAGCTCTGCCACGTTCACTGATAACAGGGACTTTCCATGACCCCCTGTGGACATGACTGGGAGAAGTCTCCCCAAACCACAGTACAGCTAGCCCTGTCTTAGAGATGCAGGAGGGGGTTGATCCATTGAACATGGTGGGAAGGCTTCTGAAGTAGCCCCCATTTGTGTCTGGCCCAGGTCCAGATTGGGGTCAGGGCCCCTGGCTATGCTCTCCGTGCTAAGTGGGTCCAGATGTAAGCCCAGGCCTTGTGCACTCCTCCTGGCCCACAGTGCAGAGGCCCCAGCCTGGGAGTTCAGCGGCGCTGGTCCTCATCCAGACTCTGGGATCTTAGGTATCCCAGATGACCCTGTGCTCCTGGGTTTCCTTCTCCGTAAAGCAGGATCACATTCATCACCCTCTCCCAGACGGAGGTTCAGGCTGGCCCGGCGAAACGTCAGCGCTGCTCTGCCCACGAGTGGCCTCTGAGGCCACCCCACTTGGCTGGGTTCCTGGGCCCTGACTCACCTCTCGCTTGACTCTTCTGGCTGAATAAGGGAAGCCCTGGTGGTGCTGGGGCTGGGGTAGGGGGTGGGAGTGGGGGAGGCTCACAGCAGGCCTGAGTCAGGAGGTTCCCAGAGGCAATGATGTCAGGCAGGGTGGCGGGCTGGGGGCAGGGTGGAGGGCCCCCTTCCTTCCTTCCTTCCCCGGTCATTTGTTCCAAGCCAGGCATGGATGGAGCCCGGAGCCCACTGACCTGTTCCACTCTGGGCGTTTCAGTCCCCAAATGCTGCCTGGCCATGGAGCAGGTGCAAGCACAGTCTCTACTATCACAATTCCCGTCCCAGCTCTGCACTTGGCAACTGCTGTCTTCCACCAAGTGATTTAATCTCAGAGCCCTTAGCTTCCACAACTCCAAAATGGGGACTGTCTTGTGATCCTGGGTTTGAGTGATGATGATGTACCAAGCCTGCTCGGTCAGGGTGAAAATCTGGGATCCAGTCCTCAGGCACTCTATCCTCAATCATCACACATGCAGATTCTGGGGGATCGATACACAGAGGCCCTGATAACTCTCTGGGCCACCATCTCTTCTCCTGGGCACCTTCTCACCTGTAAGACCCCTGACTCTGCTTTCTCTCCTGCCAGGACCTATGCTATGCTTGGGCCCTAAGGGCCCCCCTCCCCAATATGGGCTCTTCCCAGTCCAGCTTCCCTACCTGGCCTCTTGTGTACAGAGGGCTTTTATCCTCCACAGACTTCTCCATAGGATGAGAAGTGAAATAAATGCCCAGTTTCCCTGCTATGCTTATTTTGTCTGGAACTCAAAGCCAGGTGTCTAACAATTCAAGCTAACCCCCACTTTCTGGGCATGCTCTGTAGATCCACGACTTTCCTGGCATCAGCTCCAACCCTGGGGCCTCTGGTGGGGACTCTGTTACCCATTATGTGCAGTACAAGATGCTTTTGCACAGCCCACCTTTTGGCTGTCACTTTACCTAAAGATGGCAGACAGAGTCACCTCCCCAGCCTGAAGTGAAGGTGTGGAGATGCAGGTTGACACATGAAGAAGCCCTTCATTCTGATCTGATTTCTTGAGCCACCCTCAGGGCTCTGGGACTTTGGTGCTCTCTGACCTTCAGACTTCAGACTTGTACTTCTCTTCTGGGCAGAACTTCAGGGAAGTATAAGGCAGATAGCCACATGGGATGTCCTTGGTTTATCCCCAGAGTTCTCAGTGGGTGGAGGCCACAGTGAGAGCTGTGAGTTGGGGCAGTCACTAGGTAGCCTGGCTGAGAGGGCTGGAGCCAGATGCCAATAGTGGTGGTGTTGCCCTGGGCAGCAGAGGTTGGTGCCACAGACCTCCAGACAGCTGTGGGGGAGAGAGGTATTTTTCAGGAGGCAAAGGAATGGACAAAGGCAAAGGTGAGGACTGGGGACAGTGCAGAGCCCCCAGTTCTTTGACCAGGCAAAGGCGAGGAAGTGCAGAGTGGGTGCGGACTATAGGTCTGTGAGTGGGGAGAGAGGTAGGATTGAGCAGCTGGCCCAGGACCTCAAGAAACCCCAGGAAGTGGATGCAAAGTAGAAACCCCAAGAGGCTTTTGGGGTAGAGTGGAGACATTATTCCCCTTTGGTCTAAGTAGCCTCACTTCATACCCACCAGCCAGTCCAAAGTCCATGCACCCCTGGCCTGCCTTCCCACAGGGCTACTGAGTGGTAGGACTGGGCCCCAGGCCAGTAGCCTCCAGGCCTGTCTGCCCTGCTTGTGTCAGGTTAATGATGTTTTTTTCCCTCCTGAGTGGTGTTTGGCTTTTGGTTTCTATGGTGAAGCAGGAATTTCCTAATGGCCTGTTTCCCATCTGGGCTGGGCAGACATTGGTGATGACTCTGCCGGCATCAGCAGGAGGGAGGCACATCCCTCAGCCTCCATTCCACCTCCCCCAGAGCCCATGGACGCCTGACCCCCAGGCCCGGCCAGAGGCTGCAGACAGAAGAGGGCTGAGTGGATGAGCTCCCAGCTGATTGATGTGTGAGGCCTGGCTCACTCTGTTGGGAGGTGGCCCTCTTTTTGCTGAGCTTATTTATGTAGCTCCCTCTCTAGGAATCAGCCCAGAGAGAGATGGGGCCGCTGGTAGGGAAGGGACGCACAGCCCCCCCCAGGGCGGTGGCAAATCTAGAGTCCTGTCTCCTTGGCGCCACAGCCGCCACTCTGGTGCCGGGAAAAGCACTGGAGCAATTCCTTCTCTGAACCGGTGTCAGGCCGGGTCCTGCGTGGCTCTGGGCCCAGACCCCGGGCCTTCTTGGTCTTGGTTCCCAGGCAGAGTAAGCAGATATGTCTGACCATCCTGATTCCTGCCACAGGCCTGAAGGCAGGAGCTGGCCCAGTGCCCCAGAGGATAGCAAGGCTCAGGCACACAGGATCCACATCGATCCCGAGACCCAGGTATGTAAAGACTCAGAGCAAGCCCAGGAACAGGGGCCAGGCCTGGTCCACAGGTTTAACTGCATTGGATGTCCTCACCAAGGCTCTCAGCTCCCCAGGCCAGATTGAAGCAGGAGGCTTCTCTGGGCCATGCCCATGACCCATCCTGGGCTCCCCAGGTAATGGGCACCTGTTGGGGATTCTGTCTGTACTCCAGGCAGTCCTGGATTCTGGGACTAAGGTGTCTGTGGTTGGGAGGGATTGGGCCAGGCCTTGGCTCAGGGATACCACCCACCCAGCTGGGTTTCACCCTGGTGCCCAGTGATGCCAGACCAGGAGGAAGTCACCAGGCTTGGGGACAGAGTGGGGACAACCTCAGGCTGTGGGCTGACCACAGGCAATGGGACATTTTTGTATTTCATCCTGGCCTTGAGTAATCACCTGGCCAGAGCCAACCTCAGGCCATAGGGCTGACCTTTGAATGTAAGGTACTTCCGTGCCCTATCCAAGGCTGAAATTTTCTCTTGGCCACCCTGGGATTGCATCTAGCAGACTTCCGGCTAAAGGCCTACCTGCTCAGTCACCTCTTCCTGTATAACAAGAGTCACAGCCATGGTGCTGTCCTCAAGGAGAGTGAGGGGGGCCAGGCTGTTCTACAGCCTCTTTTTGCCATGGGCTTGAGAGGCACCCAGTTGGCAAGACTCCGGTATAAAACAGCCCCACCCAGCTCAGCATCTCTGTGCCACATAGTTTGGGCAAGGTGGAGACTGGACTGGTATGTGATGGAGCCAGAACTGTGGGGCCATCACCTCCTGGGTGCTTGTGTCCACTCTTGCCATGGAGGCTTTGCTGAACTGGAGGCAAGGATCTACTGTGGCCTCTCCCTCACCATCTATCAGTCCCCACCTTGCCTTTGCTGGCATCCTCGAGGCCACATGCTTACCACATGCCAGGGGGTGCCTGTTCCAGAAGGGGCGAGACACGTAGGAGTTCTGGGATGGCAGAAGCCAGGGGTCTAAGGAGTCCATGTGACTCTGTCAAGAGATCAGAGAGGAAGTGGGAGGGGAGAGGTGAGGAGGGAGGGGATGGGGCAGTGTAACAAAGAGGCTCTTGGTGTCCTCTCTCCGGGACTTCCGCTGTTCTTGCAGACTCGTGGCCTCACCTGTGTCTCAGAAGCTTGCTCTGGTAGTCCCATGAACCCGAGGCTCATGGCAGCTGGGGAAGAGGGAGGGGGGCGGGGGACACAGACAAATCAACCACACTTGGGCCAGGCAGAGGGGAGCAGCATAGTACAGGCCTCCCACTCATGTGTGAGGCTCGTGCCAGAATGGATAGGACAAAGGGGCCTGAGCTTGCTCTGTTCGGTCTCCAGGAGAGGCTCAGGGCCAGTGGACCTGGGGGGCTGAGGGCTGGGCCCAGAACCCAGGCCTTCTTGGTCTTAGTTCCCAGGCATAGTAAGCAGATACAGCTGACCATCCTAATCACCCCACGCTGTCCCTCCCTGACCTCTTCGAGGACCAGGCTGCTGAGGCTGGAAGTGAAGGGATTTTCCACAAGCAACAGGGCAGCCCCTCAGCTGCTGCCCGCCTTTTGTACTTAAAAGGTCATGAGCTCCATGGGTGGCGAAAGAAACACCCCCACCCCGTCCCTGCAGGACTGTATCCTCAGTAACACAGACACAGGGCCCATTGTCCCACACTGTCCCCACCCTCTGCCTACAGGGGAGGAGGGTGGGCCCAGCTGGAGCCCTCAGAGGAGGAGAAAACCACAATTGGCCCTAAGACCAGCACTAGCTACCCTGGCACGCACGCCCACGAGGGATGCGGCAGGGCCAGCAGGAGCTTCAGGCCCACCTTACATGTAGGGTTATAGGCGACTCTCCTCTCAGGCCTCACGTGGGGACGCAGGAGGCACTTGGTACAGCCCAGAGCAGAGGAAGGATGGTGATAGGAAAGGTTGCCTGGAGAGGGTGGCATTTAAGCTGAGAACCAGGTGATGGGTTAAGGCAGTGGTTCTCCATCTTCTGGCCCTTTAAATACAATTCCTCATGTTGTGACCCAACCATAAAATTATTTTCGTTGCTACTTCATAACTGTAATGTTGCTGCTGTTATGAATCGTAATGTAAATATCTGATATGCAGGATGGTCTTAGGCAACCCCTGTGAAAGGGTCGTTCGACCGCCAAAGGGGTTGTGACCCACAGGTTGAGAACCGCTGGGTTAAGGCAAGCGTGGTGGAGCTGGCAGCCCTTGCACACTCATCCTGTTCTCTCCAGACTGGCAGAGAGCTAGAGCTTGGATTCTGGAAGGTGCCATCTACCCATCTGGACTCAGCACCTACCTCCGTCCAAACTGCGTGTCTCACATTTTGACCACAGTCATGTGGGAGACAGTTTCCCCCATTCTGCTCACTAACCCAACCAAGGCCTCAACAGCCAGATCAGCAGCTAGCAGGCACTCAGAGTGCAAGCACGCACAGTGCACCACCACACAGAGAGGAGCAGCCCAGGAATGGGGCTCAGGTATGCCCATGACACCTATTTATCCAATGGGCATTTGCTGTGTGGCAGGCACTATGCTAAGTGCTTTGTATGCAATGGTCCCATTTTATCCCCACAAGGAGCTTATGATATAGAGACCATCACATGCTCCATTTCACAGATGAAGAAACAGAGGTTCAAAGGTGAAGTGACTTGCTCAGTGAATGAGTGGTAGAGCTGGGACCGACGTCACCATGGGTGCCCTACCCACCGAGTTCAGACCCAGAGCGGCTGCTGCATGGGTGGCTGTGGAGGAGCAGTGGCTCTGATGACCCTGCAATAGACTCACACCCTGCTGGGTGGGGGTGAGAGGGGTCCTTCCTCCAGGACCCTCTGACTTCCCCTTCCTGTTGAAGCCTCCTCTGTACCACGCCAGCCTTGCCCCCATGGCCAGCCTTGCCCGCCTGCTTGCCCAGCAGACATGCATATATGAGAGTGCTCAGGTTTCTCAGGGCTCTTGTTGGGCCAATGGGGACAGTGTTTTCCTGCTGCTCTTGCCTTCTTGATGGGAGCCCACCTGTGCACCTCTGCTTTGTCTGTTGGGGTAGGGCATGTGGTGGTATCACCCCCATTCAGCTGCTGGTCCACCCATTCATTACCCAAGCTCCTGCCCAGCTCAGAGCCTGCAGAAAGCAGGGGCCTCCAGGCAGAGCCCTGCAAGCTCAACTGTGCCCCAACGCTGGAGGCAGGCTGAGTCCAAACCAGACTTATTCCCCCCAAGTTAGGCATCGTTTCCTCCCCACCTAGTGTCCCCGTCCAGACTGTAGAGCAGTTGTCGCCAACTGGTGGTCCACAGACCACTGGTGGTCCGTGCGGTCCGAAAGGTTGGTGACCACTGCTGTAGAGCAAAGGGGATATTTAAATGTCACCTTCCAGGCTGAGGCTGAGACCACCTTCATGGCCTAGACGATTGGGCCCCACCCTACAGCCAGGCTGCTCTGGCCACCAACCTCATTCCAGCCACGGAGGCCGCCATCGTCCTCCCCAGGGTGACCAGCACTGGCTCTGTGTATATATGTGACTCAGTGTGTGTGACCAGGTTATGTAGGTGGATTGGCTGGTGTGTGTTGTCTTCATGCACACGTACTTGCCAGAGCATGTGGGCATGTTTGCCTGCAGCCGGGGCAGCACAGCCCTGGACTCTGCAGAGACAGAGATTCCTAGACCCCATTCAGACCCACGCCCATAAGAAGACTCCTCATGGGCTGAGGAGGCATGTTCAGGGCATCGCTCCTCAACATGTTTTAGCCATGGACATCAGCCTGGCCATGGCATAGTGGGCTGGAGAGGTTTGAACCCTGGCCCTGCCTCTGCCCCTCATCTGCTGTGCCTACAGAAGGCCACCTTTTTAGCCTGGGAAGCAGGAAATGGGGGCAGAGGTACAAGCCTAGAGGAAGCTGACCTCACAATGGCACATGTAAACCTCAGCCCTTCCTCCCCAAAGGTCCTTGGGCACACAGTGATTGGTGACCCTTCCTGGCTATAGGACAGAAGTTCCTTTTTTGTTTCTAGCCATGGACCCATCCAGTATCCAGGACAGTTCTGGCAAGTAGGAAGGTTTGGCCCCAGGACCACCTCAACAAGGAAGCCACACACACTGGCCTCAAAAGAGTTTCTTGGGATGCCGCCGCCCCAACACCATCCCTCACGGGCACTGTAGTCAGAACCACCACAGGGCTCATGAGCCAAGTCTGAGTTTCAGGTCTGCAGAGTTTTGTGCTGACTTCCTACAGGCATTTCTCATTTCGGGGTGGGGGGATGGGGGGCTGAACCAGGCCTAAGGCTCAGCCCTTCCCCACAGACTCCCTCCCTGGCTGGGCACCATCACTCAGAGATGCTAGAGCAGGGATATCCAGCCAGCATCCCAGAAGGCCTGGCATAGCGGAGGGGGTAGCTGTACTAGGAGTGGCCAGAGGCCCTACCGCAGAGGGTCTCCCAGTACCTCAGACCTCTCTCTCTCCTAGGATGGCAGTCCAGTGACCAGCAGGCGGCCCTCAGCCACAGGGATTGGTCCAGAAGATGGCAGGCCAGACCTGGGATCTCCTTATGGGCAGTCACCTCTCCTCTCAGTCCCTCACAATGGCAGCAGCAGTGAGGCCACCTTACTGGCCCAGATGAGCACCATGCATGTGTCTCCACCCCACAGGTAGGACTGGACACCTGGTTTTTGCAGCCACACCTAGATCCCATCTTAAGCCCTGACCCCTCAGATCTCACCAGGTTCCATCCTGACCCTGATACTTGATGCTTGAATCTCAGCTTGCTTGCACAGTGACCATGAAACTTTCACCAGACCTCTGAGCAGGCAGAGTGAAGGTTGGCACTGCATCTCTTTTGCCCAGTACTGACCCAGGCAGAGGCCTCCCGCGGAGCCGCGACTGCGGAGCCCACAGGGGTTCCGAGGTGTACCGGATGCTGCAGGAGCCTGCCGAGCCCCTCGCGCCCGTGGAGCCCAAGCAGTCAGGTTCCTTCCGCTACCTGCAGGGCATGCTGGAGGCTGGCGAGGGAGGTAAGACGCCAGCCCTTCCCCCATCTTCCTTCCCACTCCTGGTGTTCAGGGATCGACCCCTCGCTGCGCCATCCCTGGCACGGCCCTTGCCCAGAGTTCCCCAAACCCCATCCCCAGCCTGTGTGCCGGGGATCCCGAAAGCCGGGCTCAAGGGCTCAGCCCCACACCCCACAGAAGTGAAGTGTTTCCCTTTTTTTTTTTTTACCTCCGCCCCTCCGCACCTGGCTCTTGCCACCTGCGCTCGGGCTTTCAGGGGAGCGGCAGGGACCTGGCAGCCCCCGGAACCTGAAACCCACGGCCGGCAAGCTGGGAGCCCCACTGAGCGGCCTGAAGGGGCTGCCGGAGTGCACACGCTGCGGCCACGGCATCGTGTGAGTATCAGCCCTGCCTGCCCCACCTCGACCCCGGTTCTCCCCTGCCGCGCCCCACGCCCGGGACTGGCGGGCTCCAGAACCCGTCTCCCAATGCTGCCCTCTGCCGGCCTCCCACCAGGGGTACCATCGTCAAGGCGCGGGACAAGCTGTACCACCCCGAGTGCTTCATGTGCAGCGACTGCGGCCTGAACCTCAAGCAGCGCGGTTACTTCTTTCTGGATGAGCGGCTGTACTGCGAGAACCACGCCAAGGCGCGCGTAAAGCCTCCGGAGGGCTATGACGTGGTGGCAGTGTACCCCAATGCCAAGGTGGAACTCGTCTGAGCCGCTCCTGTAACCCCACCCCCCACCTCTGCTTCTTTTAATGCCCCGTGCGGCCCGTGTAAATATGCGTCTGCCCCTGCCTTTCTAATAAACTCTCTCTGCTGGGCCTCGACCATGTCAGTGCCTTCGCCTACCTCCCTCCAGTGCAGGCCATGGCTTCCGAGTGCCAGCTGTTCAGAACCCAAGCATGTCTTGGGCACCGGATGCAATGGAGAGCAAGACAGGCACTGTGCTGTCCCAGGAGGCCACAGCCTGGATGGATGGCAGACATGAGTCACAAGTTCTGTTCAAAGGGAGGCGAATGAGGTCTGGGGTGCCGTAAGGTGACGTCATGCCAAGGGATCTGACCTTCGTGGAGTCAGGGAAGGTGTCAGCTGAGACATAAGGAGGGAAGAGCCGTACAGTGTGTGCAAAGGTGTGGCAGAGGCGAGCACAAACAGGAAAGGCCCGGTCTTGCCACCAGCAGGAGCGCGGGCACCCCTAACAGCCAGAGGAGGATTGCCCCTCGGGGTGTATGACTCGGGGAGAGTATCTGTCTCCCTGCATTCTCAGAAATCTCCCTTCGGGTGTTTCTCCCTTTCTCCCTTTTCTACTCTCCCTTCCCCTCTCTCACCACCAGGGGGCACGCTCAGTGGGGAGGTGGTGAAGAAGGGCGGAGATTTTAGAACACTCGCCTAGTGCCGCACCCTTCAACCTCTCCAAAGTTGAGAGTAAACACCCAATTCAGAGGCCAGTTGTTACAGTGTGTGCGAGCCAACCTCCATCTTTTCGCAGCTCGGTAGCATGCATCCCGGTAGAGACTCTCACGTTTAAAAAATATTAATGCTGCCAGAACCGGGGAGCTGTGGCTGCTCCTGGACTCCGGGTCTTGTGCAACTCCCCCCTCCTTAGCTTGCTCCCGACTAGAAGCAGCCTTGTTTATTTAGTCCCGTTTCATGTAGTGAACCCGAATAATATGCGTTTGTGCTATTGTCAATGTTGTACTATTGCAAACCACAAAAGTCTTATCAATTCACACTCTCACCATCAGCACACAGCACTAATTTCCTTGCACTCTTGCCACCACAGGACTTTTTTTTTTTCGTGCGATAGGTAGTTGCTTTAAGTTGCATTTCTCTGATTACCAGTGATGAGCATTCACTCAAATATATATTGTGTTTGTGGGTGCTGAGCAAACAGTGGGGAGCAGAATGGTCTTCTCCAAGAGTTCTTGGGGGGAAATGCTCTAAACCAGAGGTTCTCAACCTGTGGGTCGCGACCCCTGAAAATACATCCTGCATATCAGATATTTACATTATGATTCCTAACAGTAGCAAAATTACAGTTATGAAGTAGCAACGAAAATAATTTTATGTTGGGGGTTACCACAACATGAGGAACTGTATTAAAGGGTCGCAGCATTAGGAAGGTTGAGAACCACTGCCGATAAACCCTTTACTCTTTTTACTGAGGTTTAACTTCTTTTTTGTTTTGTTAATCCTCACCCAAGGATATTTTTTCCATTGATTTTTAGAGAGTGAAAGGGAGGTAGGGGGTAAGGAGGGGGAGAGAGAGAAATGAGAGAGAGAGAGGAGAGAGAGAGAGAGAGAGAGAGAGAGAGAGAGAGAGAGAGAGAGAGAAACATTGATGTGAGGGAGACACATGGATTAGTTGCCTTCTCGACCAGGACCAGGGATCAAACCTGCAACCCAGGTACCTGCCCTTAGCCAGGAATTGAACCCCTGAGCCTTCGGTGCGCACGCAGGTTGATGACCTGACTACTGAGCTACACTGGCCAGGGCTATTTAACTTTTATTATAATTATTTTTTTTATTTCAGAAGGGAGAGAAGATATATATAGAAACATCAATGATGATGAGAGAGAATCACTGATCGGCTGCCTCCTGCACGCCCCCTACTGGAGATCCAGCCCTCAACCCGCGAGTATGCCATTGACCAGAATCGAATCTGGGACCCTTCTGTCTGCAGGCGACGCTCTATCCATTGAGTCAAACAGGCTAGAGCTATTTAACTTCTTAATTATACGAAGGAACTTTACATATTTCTGTAGGAATCTTTGTTACTCTCACTGATCTATTTTCCTATTTTTGTGACAAAATCACATTGGTTTGATTACTGTCATTTTAGAGTTTAATATGCCCATTTCTCCTCCTTGTTCTTTGTTTACAAACACTTCCAGGCCATTCTTGCACATTTTCAATAGTCAGAGGTTTAGATTCAGTGTTTCAGGCTCTGGAAAAAAACAAGCAAACAAACCTCTGAACCGTGGCTGGGGTTGCCCTGAATCTGGAGAGACACTTGCTGAGAACTGCCCTGCGCCCTTTTCTCCCAAGGAATACTGCACTATGATCTGCGCTCACTGTCCCAGCTATGCAGGTGCCCAGAACGCCTTCTCCTAGTGTTGACTTCCGTTTTCTTCCTGTTGCTCTGTGCTCCTAGGACTCCTTCCAACAGCTCCTCCCGCCGCCCCTCCCCTCCCTGCGGGAGCACAGGCCAGGGCACTGGGCGAGTGTCCTTGAGAAGTGAGATGAGAAGAGGGCCTGGGCCCTGGGCCTGCAGACAACCGCGGCCCCACCCCAACTCCTTGCCCTCCGGCTCCCCAGCCGTCAGCGCGCAGCGAGGCCCCGCCTGGAGCGGACGGAGGGCCCCGCCCCGGCGCCAAGCGCGCGCACGTACCCACGCCCTCCGGCGGCCTCGCGGGTCGGGAGGGTGTGGGAGCGTCTGCGCGCCCCTCCCCGCCTCGCAGTGCCTGCAGACGAGGTTAGGGCCCCACCCGGTCAGAGGCGGGAATGGAGGGGATGACAGGCAGCCTGGGGAGCCAGGGACGCAATTAGGCGCAGGAACCGGTGGAAAAATACAGGCACAGGCCTCCACCTGGCTCTCGGACTCAAACCGCAGAGACTGCCACCCACAGCCCCATGCTCACTCGCCGCTGTACATCCACCAGCCGCCGGCGATCCGCTTAACCCCGGGACGCGCCATCACCCCCTCTCCCCACAGGGTCTGCTACCCAAATTGAAGGGTCCTTGAGCTGCCTGGGCACCATCGGTACCCCCAAGAACAAGGGCTGCACCCCCACAGGGCTGCAGCACCCAGGGAAGCCCTTCCTAAGCAGGCATCCAGGTGAGGGGCTGGGGAGGCAGGAGCGAAGAGGAGTGGCGCCCAGAACTTTGGACTGATCTGTCCTCTCCCTGTTCACGACTCTGCCCAGGGGCCCTGACTGAGCCCAAAGGTGGCAAACGTAAACATCTTGGGCCAACGTCCTGTGAGACAATAGCTCTGTGACCCAGGGTCCCCAACTCAGAGTGCGCCAGCCCACCTGGCCCAGGCCCAACTCTCATTATTGTCCCCAAACCTGCTCCTCTCTCAAGCCCTCACCCCCGGAGCCTTCAAACTAGACTTGGACATCATCCTCTACACCCTGCCCCCACCAGCCCATCCTACCTGCCGGGAGCCGGTCCATCCTTGCTGTTTCAAAGGACCTGGCATATATGGCATACTGTTCTTAATGTGTTTGCTCACCTTCTTGGCACTATGTGTTTTAACCAAGGTCTCTGAGAAAGGTTGTTTCCCCAGGTAGGGATTTTCCCCTGAAGTTAAGGAGGGAATAAAACCTCTTAACTAAGTGCCAGGCGGGTAATTAATCACTTTAACTATGAACAATCATGCTTAAGCTACATAATCTTTACTCCCTGGAATGGAGATAAGAAACGCCCTAACCTTTGAAATAGAGATTGATAGGATTGGAATCAACTGGTATAAATACAGATGTAAGAAGACAGAACGAAGAGAGACAGAACCCAGGCACAGAACCTACACAGAACGTTCTCTACAGACAGAAGAACTTCGCTGGAGAGAACATGGCAAAAGATCCTGGACTGAACCTGACTACAGAAATTGGCAAGAGAACCTGACTAGAACCTGGTGACTGAACCTGGCTGGAGAACCTAGCAAGAGAACATGGACACAGAACCTGGCTGGAGATCCTAATCCAGACCAGAACTTAGCTGGAGATCCTAAGCAGAACCTCTCTGGAGATCCAGACCAGAACTTGGCTGGAGATCCTGGCTAGAGATCCTGGCTAGGCTGCTGATCAACTGAACGCTGTCTCCATGTCATTCCTTCTTCGCCGACTCCGTCCACACCTTTGGGGACCCCTGGACCTGCTGGGGTTGGACCCCGGCACCTACCCATCATTCTGTCTGGGGTTCTGCCTCTTAAGCATTTCTGGGACCCATTTCAGGGCAGCTGGAGTATTCTCGCACTCCCTGGCTTCATGGACCCCTTCATGGTCCCCAAGGCCCTGAGGACAGAGCATCTGATTGATCAATTATAGGCCTAGCATTTGAAAACTCTCTGACTTCCTGTTGCTGAACTCTTGATCTCACTTTCTCTGCTTACCAGACAGTTCATTGTTTGAGCCATCCTGCCTTTTCATACACCTCAGACCTTCTCTCAAGCTCCAAATGCCTTTATTTTTTCTTCTCCATCCAACAAACTCCTACTCACTCCTCAAGGCCCAGCTCCACTGTCCCCTTCCCACAGAAAAGCCTTGGCAGAGTTAGTAGTTCCCATCCACATGCCCTTCTGCCGGAAGCCAGTCCATCCTTGCTGCTTGACACAGTCGCTGCAGGGAAGAAACATCTGCACAGCATACGTTTCAAGGGACCTGGCGTATATGGCATACTTTTCTTAATATGTTTGCTCCCTTTTTTGGCGCTATGTGTTTTAACCAAGGTCACCTCTCCGAGAAAAGGTTGTTTCCCCAGGTAGGGATTTTCCCCTGAAGTTAGGGAGGGAATAAAACCCCTTAACTAAGTGCCAGGCGGGTAGTTAATCACTTTAACTACGAACAATCACGCTTAAACTACATAATCTTTACTCCCTGGAATGGAGATAAGAAACGCCCTAACCTTTGGAATAGAAATTGATAGGATTAAAATCAACTGGTATAAATACAGGTGTAATAAGACAATAAAATACAGAACCTGGCTGGAGATCCTGGATAGAACCAGACAAGAGAACCCAACCATGCTGGTCAACTGAACACTACCTCCGTGTCATTCATTCTTCGCCAACTCCGTCCACACCTTTGGGAACCCCTGGACCTGCTGGTG